GCAGGGGGCTTGCCCTTCAGTCAGGAGGCCTCAGCTGAGCAAACGGTCGCACAGCTCAGTGGGATGGTGCTGGATACAGAAAACGGGCCAAGGAGGGGTGGTTGAGGGCCGGTGGGCGACAGACACCCTTAGGTACAGTGGTCCTCGTCTCTCCCAAGGAGCTGAGATGTGAGGCTCATGAGGGCTGTCCCAGGCAGAGGGAACAGCCAGGGCACAGCTCTGACGGAGGTCAGGGAGGGGACGGGGCTGGGCTGGGGGCCGGTCTAGAGGGTTTCCAGAACGGGAGGCAGGGTTAGGGTTTGGCTGGAGCGCCACCCTCTGGACTGCTCTCTGGGAACACCTTCCAGGGACGGTGGCGGGAAGAAAGCCATTTCCTTGTGCCCAGGCTCTGGGGCTGGCCAGGGTCTCCCCCCTCTGCCCATGCCTGGACCTCCAGCCTCTCCATCCCACCCACAGCTCTCGCAGCAGAAGGCCTATGTGGGTGGTCTTCCAGACACTGCCACGATAATTCTCTGAGAACCAGACCAGAGGACCGTTAATTAAACCGCGATCAGGACATCTAAAGTGCCACATGGGGCTGAGCGAAGCATCCATGGGAAGAGCCCTGCAGACACAGGAGGGGGTGGCGGGGGAGGGGGTGGGGGATGGGTGGCTCCATTGCTGCACACACCAGCGGGTGGGAGCAGCAAGAGCCTGGAGCCCCAACAGCTGGAGTGGAGTCCACTCTGTGTCCCCGGCTGAGCTCTCCACCTGGCTTTCCCCAGCTGCTCAGTGGGAGCCATGACAATGTCAGGAGGTGGGGGGATGGGTGGATAGCATTGGTCCAGCGCATGCCGAGGGCCAGGTCCCGTGTTAAATACCGTCTGCACGCTCCCACTTGACCTTCCAGCCATAGCGATTGTCCCCAGGAGGCAATGAAGGCTTAGAGGTCAAGCAACCTCCCCTCCTTCTTTATTAACTCTCCGGGACTGTGGAGGTCGATTTGCTGATGGGAAAAACCAGCCCGGGGCAGCCTGGCTCGGGGCTATTATTTTGTCTGCTCTGTTGTCCTTTGAGCGCTGAAGGGATGGCACTGCTGGCGGCAGCCAGCAGAGGGCGCTGAAGGGCACCCCTGTCCAGGAGAAAGCTGGAGCCCTGGGGGACCAGGGCAGACACCTTTGCCTCCAGGCTTGGATTCCTCACGGCTCTGCTAGTTCC